CACTGGTCAGAGGCAAAGAAACAGTGGTGCTGTTCGAACAAGAGCCTGGGCTGTGCAAAAGAGGATGCGCCGGCGAAAGACGCGCTGGATGCGTCTGAACCTTTCGATTGCCAAGTAGACCCAGTTGAGCACTGGTCAGAGGCAAAGAAACAGTGGTGCTGTTCGAACAAGAGCCTGGGTTGTGCAGCGGCACAGGAGCCGACGGAAGATGAACCGACGGACGAGCCGACAGAAGATGAACCGACAGACGAGCCGGCGGAAGACGAACCAACTGAAGAACCGACAGAAGAAGAAGCGGCACAAGAAGAGCAAGTAGCTGAACCCTTCAATTGCTTGACCAGGGAGACCTGGTCAGATGTGAAGAGACGGTGGTGCTGCAGTAAAAAGCAGCTGGGCTGCAAGACGGAGGGCGCTCCTCTGGAACACTCGGAACAGGAACCGGAGAGTTTCGATTGCGAAGACGGTTCTGTGGAGGAATGGCCAGAAATCAAGAGTCTGTGGTGTTGCTCAAACAAGCGCGTGGGATGTCAGAAGGACCTCTTCAACTGCCATGTGGATCCTGTGGAAGACTGGTCTGACATGAAGAAAGAGTGGTGTTGTGAGGAGAAACGGATAGGCTGCCCCTCTTTCGATGCCAGTGCCTTGCAATATGATTGCAAGACCGATCTGGCCGAGTGGAAGCAGAAGTGGACGGAGATGCATGCGCTGTTTTGCTGCGTTTTCAAGGGCGTAGCCTGTGCAGATGAACAGGATGAGACCCCACTCCAAAAAATGAAAGAAGCACAGCAGCAGGAGGAGTTGGCAGAGGACCTGCCGGGTGGATTGAAACACCGTGGCTTCAGCCCTTAGGCATACGAGGTTGGTGCTTTCGTGAGAGGTTGAGTTTTTTTGCAGTCTAGTCCTTGCCTATCAAAACTCTGGGATGAATGCCATTGCAGTCAAGACTTGAGAGCGCTGCCGCTAGGAGGAGGAGGAGAAGGAGGATCCCGACCCTGAAGACCAGGAGTTCGACTGTTCTGAAGGTCTCTCGGACGATGGCTTTAAGATTTAACTTTTGTTCGTCAGGTATCCATCAGGCAGGGTACCAACAATGGGCTGCAGCGCAATTACATAGGGTTTTGTGGCCCTTTTGAGCTGGAACTTGTTTTGAAATTGCTGCATTTTCTTCATTTGCATTGTAGTGCTTTGTGGGATTACACGTGGGGATGTCCTGCGATGTTCCTACGTACTTGTCCTGCTGTGGGATCCCAACGTTGCAGTCCAGCATCCTAACGATAAAGCAACACAGTTACAGGACGGCGCTTTACAAGGACGAAGCCTTCATGCATGGAAGGGACTAGTGTGGGGGAGAGTATCTCACATGGCTCCCGATGTAAGGCTCTGGCCTGTTGAAGGGTGCGTGAACTGTGTGGGCTTCTCTTGATTACAAAGACTTTACAAAGTACAAAGGGACAGCAGAAGTGCATCACGTTTGTCGAAACAGCAGGCAACCCTGGGCCCTGGCATTGTGCTTACTGGGATCGCCGCACCGTAAGCATTGCAAGACACATCAGCTCAGGAAGAATGTCATACCCGGCGGACCTAGCGCAAGACTCATTTGAAACAATGCCCTGTTCCATTGCTTTGCAAAGTACCATTGTGGAATACTTCTGCGCTTTCGTGGAAATTTGTCTGCCTGTGTTGAGACCTTCGCCCGTGTCTCAAGATCAAGTCTGTCAATCAACTTTCGCGGCATTTGTTGTTCTGTCTTGGGCTGGCCCGCATTTCCGTGCATGCAGTAGCAATCTTTCCCGTATTCCATACTGGGCATCAGGGAGCCGCCTAAAGCACCCCCCACCTTTGATCCTAATGATTTGCATAGAATGCAGTGAGAGTAAATGACCGTGGATAAACAGTAAGCAGCTTCAGGCTTAATTTAAGGTTCCCCATAAGTAAAAAGAATATGGTGTATATGGGGATCTGATTATGATATACCCAAAGCCATATTCTATCCACTACTTAAGGGGGACTATATTTAGATGTATGGTCCACGGCTCATCATTTAGATCATGATGAGCAGCAGAATGACAAAGAACACCTTTGCCTGACTTCTTTTTGTAAGCGTATTACCAATGACGAAAGCGGAAGAGCGACTGCCGCATCCAAATGGAAGTTTCTCAGAATGAGGATCCGCCCCAACTAGACCTAAAAAGAACCAAGTCCTTGCCAAGACATACAAACAGGGTCTCATAATTTGAGGAACACCTATTTGCAAACTAAATGCGGATTTACATATGCAGTCTTGATGAGGCACTCCTGTTATCCCCTCAAACCCAAAGGGCATCGTACAAATCCAAGCCACGATCTTCCAAATACCATCGCTCTTGGCCACTGACTATTAGGGACCCTGCAGCCCCAAGAAAAAAGGCATTGATAAAAAGGCCCTAGTCAAGGGAGAAGTTTGGGAGGGTAGTATAAGGGCGGGGAGTAGGAGATCCCATGAACAAAGAATTCAAGACCAGGGCTGGCCAACTGGGAACGAGGCTTCTCCGAGGCAAAGAAGGAGTTCTGCTGCCGGCGCACTCTCGCCTGCAACAAAGGGATTGTATTGGGATTATAGGACATATATATAGTGCCCAGTTGGGGTTATATAGGGATTACACGGGAATCATTTTGTGTGGTATGGGGATTTTGTAGGGGCATTAAAGGGGCTAGACAAGGAATATACAGCGACTATACCGGGATATTATATATATAGTGTTACAAGGGTTATAGGGAGAATTTAGCGGGGTGCAGGGGTAAGCATTGGATGCGGGGGTTAGTTGGATTCGGGGGGTTTGCGATTTGAGTGAGGGGCCTGAAACCCTGAGTCCTGGATGAATGCTCGAGAAGCCATTGACCGGTTCAGGATGTTTGGCAGCAATCCGTGTTACATTTTGGGTTCCTTATGATCTCATGACCGGTCCTATGATTTCAGCACGGTTGGGGAATGTTGGGGTACAAGATCGAAATCAGCAAGATGACTGTCCAATCTACGTGCAATCCGTTATCCCAGCGTTGAGTATTGGGGCACAATGTATTTGAAAGAGCGACACGCTCGCAGCAAAAGGCAGTATTCAGGACCACTCGCACTTATCGAAACACTGCAGAAAGGGTTGGAACTGCTTTGACTTAAGCTGATTAAATTACTTCTTTCAGGCTTTCAGGGGCTCCAATTCCGCATATTGAAGTCTTGGGACAGCATTTCTCTGGCCTTTGGTTAGCCGGAAATCCAGGAATGGAAAAGAACATGGTGATTGCCATAATGGGTCATATAAGATCCATTCTTTCATTCCTAGCTAACCAAAGGACAGTTCTAGGTGTAAGTAGAAGGTTGCTTGGTGCGTTGGTCAATCACAGGCCCCTTTTGATGCCCAGACCTCTCATGACCGGGATCCTCCTACCCTTGGGGATATAATCCCCTCCCCGTAATATAAAATCCCCCCGACTTCCCCTAATATCAAATATTCCCCATTGTGGATATTATACTATATTGGGAGTAAGTAATATTGGAGGGGGTGGGGGGGTTTGATATTAGGGGAGCGGATTACAATGAAACACCTATTTGCCAAATGCCCGTTACCGAGCTGTCAAGCCGGAGAGGCTTCCACGCAGCTGCTTGTAGAAATCCTGCATGACCTGAAGCACCTTGTACCTTGGGATGATAGCATTCTAGTATACTAAAGGTCATGCATGTTTTGTAATATTCACAGTATATCTGGCACCTGGCATGCTTTCCTCAGATCTGGCTGCGCTGCTTATAGTCAGCAGAGATTTGGCTGAAGGGCTACGGTTTCATGAGGTCGTTTGGCGCGTTTAGTTAGATGCAATCTAAGTTGCAAGGTGAAGTTGAAACTAAGGATCTTCAAGTCAGGCATGAACCCTAAATAGGATTCGGATCAAATCTCGCGTAGGGCTTTAGGTAAGCCAGACTCATTCCTAGCCAAACAAGACCGCCAGACCTAGGGAAAAAGTATGCGCTTCCGCCCCATGTATCACCACAGAAACCTAAGAAGGTAAACAGGGCGTCGGGCAGCGTCAGATCAGCACAGGAGACGCGTTTGCAGGAAGGTGGCATATGAGCTGTAGTTTAAACTCCTGAATGCATGGGGCTTGTCCATTAAATCTGAATACTTGGCTGATCGTCAACCCAGAGTGTTATCCGTGTTTCACGACTTTGCCCCAGCCTGAACGTCAGTTGCCCTTTGCCAACTTTCAAACCCGGACCTTCAGAAGCCCTACTACACCTTAAGACTTAGACCCTACCATCATAATTGGTATTACGATTCTTACTATAAGTAATAACTACCTGAACCCCCAAAAGTATGTAGAATAATGGCCTTTATGGCTGTTACTATGAGTTTAGGGCTATTATTTTACATACTTTTGGGGTTTAGGTAGCATCACTGCCATTAGTACCTCGGTTCCCTGCCATCCTGAAGTCATTCACCCCCCTAAGTTGACCCCATCTTTACGACCGCACGCTGCCAGTCGAATCCACGATATTACCGCTATATATCCCATTATAGTCGTTTCCATTTTCTTTTCCATTATCCCAATATATTCCCTATATATCCCGTTATGAAAAGGTCACAAGGTCGCCTGCGCTGGTGATCCCGAGTCCCCGCACCTCGGCAAGCTCAGCCCTAATGGGATATATAGGTAGGGTTTAGGGTTTAGGGTTTAGGGAAAGAAAATGGAAAGCCTAGGCCCCTTTAAAGGGGGAATGTATGGGGGATATATTGGGGTTATATTGGGATAATGGAAAAGAAAATGGAAACTACTATAATGGAATATATAGGGGTCATATTGGGATAACGGAAAAGAAAATGGAAACTACTCTAATGGGATATATAGCGGTAAGATTGGGGTAATATTGGGATAATGGAAACTACTATTTAGGGCTTCGGGTTTAGGCCTATAGTCCCCCTTAAGTAGATTGAGTATGGAGTATATGGGGATGTAATTATAATGTACCCAAAGCCATATTCTATGTACTTAAAGGGGACTATACTGCTATCACTACGATTGCTCTTATTACGTTCATTACTACGATCATTGTTATTACGGAGTCATTACTGTATTTTTCTTATCACTAGTCTTACTATGTTTCAGTAGCCTACGTATATCCCCAGTTCCAACTCCGATGAACTTCCAGGGTAGCCTTTACACCCAAAGGAGGACGTCTTCCCAGGAATCAATACACGTGACTGTTTTTGACGGGTGTAAGGCATTCATGTTAGGAGGAGAGGCTTAAGCCATAGCTTTTTCACCATTCCCTCTACCAGATCTTCTCCTGCTCCGGATTTCGTGGCCTCCTCCGGATTTATTGTTCGCATTTGGAAGCAGAGTAATTACAGGAGCTTATAGTCCCCCTTAAGTAGACTATGGTGACTCTGGGATAGATGAGGATCTTAGTAGAATAATACCCAAAACCATCTTCTATCTACTTAAGGGGGAGTATAACTTGAGCTTATGGTCGAAGGGCCTGGGCTTGGGTTTGGGGATTGTCCAGAAGATACCGTTGACACTAAAAATCCTGCATGACCATAGTCTACTATAATCCCATTATTCCCAAGGTATAAGGTACTTAGGGTCATGCAGGATTTTTAGTATCCACTGTAGTAGGTTGAGAAGCCGCTACATGGGGCAATCTTCTCACAAGAGACATAGCTCGAGGTATCCTGAAGACCTCTGTGGATGGTTTAGGTTTAGGGTTTAGGATTCAGAGTTTAGGGTTTAAGGTTTAGGGTTCAGGGTTTAGGGTTTAGGGTTCAGGGTTTACGGGTTATAGGGTTTGGAGGGCAATGCACCGCAAGGAGTGTACAGAC